GCAGAGGGAAGAAGGTGGTTTTTTGTTTTATTTTTGCTTTGTGACAGCCAGGAGAATAATGGTCTCTTTTGCATTAATTGTTATGTACGTACGTGTGTGTGTGTGTGTGTGTGTGTGTGTGTGTGTGTGTGTGTGTGTGTGTGTGCGTGTGTGTAAAACCTGGACTGTCTGTTACTGGTCTGTATGTTTTCAGGGGCTGACCATTTGATATTGGATAAATAATTGGTGTGCGCTCTCTGGAAGAGTATTTCTCCTTCTCTCAGCATTCCTTAGTTACCTGTAGTTCTTTGTGTAGAGTACAGGCCTTGTGAGCTTTTCCCTTTCCCCTTTTGATGTCTGCTGTTGTTGTCCTTGTTCAGTTCATGTATAGCCAGCCATGTTGGTGAGACTTTATGGATGTGGCTTCTGATGTTACTAGGAGATACATTCTCACAGAACTCCCTGATCCTCTGGCTCTTTGCACCTCCCTTTCTGCAGTGTTCCCCAAGCCTTAGGTTCAGAGGTTATTATGTGGATGTATCCATTGAACTCCTCAGCTCTGTTTTTTTGATTGGTTAGTTTTTTCTGTAATGGTCTCCTGTTGGAAAGAGTTCCTTGATGAGGGATGAGAACTACCCCATCTCTGTGTATAAGGGCAAATATTTAGAGTGTAGTTAGGGATTCCACTAGTTTAGTAAAGTAGTGGTTATAAGTTCCTGTCCAAGATCCATGAGTCCACTAGCCCTGGGTAATTGTCTAGCTTTCTAGTACCAATCATGATTTCTCTCTTGTTAAGTTGATCTTAAGTCCAATTAGAAAGCTGTTGGTTACTACTAAGGTATGTGTGCCACTAAATACCCTTAGGCTTATTGGGCCTTGCTGGTGGTTGTGGTTCATAGGTGCTGTAATTAGGTAGGACTGTTTATTGGTTTGATTAAAAACAGATTCACTACTTTAAAATAATTTTTTTTAGTAAAAGGTAGCATTTCCAAGTAAATATATTAAAAGGCTCTCCACACTAGTCATGTTTGGTATCTGGATTGCTTGACCTAATTTAGAATAAGGTATTTCCAACAGATGATTGCTAAAAAATATTCATTCTCTCCCCTCTTTTGTTTTTTTACCTAGATCACAAGAGACCCCTGAAGATGGTCAGCCTCCAGCCTTACCACCCAAACAATCTAAGAAAAACAGTTGGAACCAAATTCATTTTTCCCACTCTCAGCAAGATCTAGTCAACCACAGTAATGAAACCTTTGATGTGCCCTCTTCCCCTGAAAAGTCCACTGTAGGTAGTCTCACTTTGTTTTGAATTTTTAAAATCTTGAATGCAGGTTACTTTGAACCATAGCATGTTTTAATTGTAAATTGTAATACTTTGTCTTTTTTTTCTGATTCTTTGATCATGATTTATACCATTATGGCGTTACCTTTTTCTTCATTTGTATAGTACCTATTGCTTTGAGTTAATGTCTTAACAAGTTAGCTGTAATTTTAGTATACAAAATATACATATGCTTCCCCAAAATGCTAATAACTCAGTAAATACTTATTTTAGTATGTAATTTCTTATTGTAAATATATCCCCAACCTTTTAAAATTGAGGACAGACTCTAATATTGTGTGTGCACTCTACCTTTTACAAAATAATTTATAACTTTTGCTTCTCCAGAATATGCCTTTTTACAATAATGAGTTCTTAGAATCTTAATGATTTATTAATTTTATTTCTCAAGAAGTTTTAAATAAGCCATAAGTGAAGTTAGCAATTTAAGAATACAGTGTATTCCTAAAAAAGCAAGCACAGTTATATGTAGATGTTTCAGGAAATTTAAAGAGACATTAGGAAATTAAGATACAAAAGGGAAATTTCCTTGATAGTAGGCATCAGCATCTAGAGTCAAAGGCCTTTGGTGATTACTGCACTCCCTGCCTTCTTGGTTATTTACTCAGAGCTTTTTCCATTACCAAAAGTTGAAACCATTCTATTTTCTGATGAGTACTGTTCCACTACAATAGACTTAATCAACAAAAATGGCGACTCGAGTGTGTGATGTTTATGGTGACTCTATAGTGATGTTTATGTGTCTCTTCTTGCATGCATTGATTATTCATGGTTAATGAACTTGTATTTTGATGAAGGTGGGTATGCCAAGATAATTAACACATGGCAGTTGTTGTTATATAACTTACAATCTAGTTTGTTTCTTTCAAAAATATTTAGTAAAGGCTATATGATAGCTTAGTTGGTTAAGTGCTGGCTACACAGGCACTAGGAATGTATAGATAGGTGGATCCTTGGGAGCTCATTGGCCAGCTAGCCTAGCCCTACATGGTAAGTTGATGGTACCAGTGAAAGGTACTCTCAAAACACAAGATGGACAGCACCTGAGGAATGCTACCCAATGTTGCCCTTCAACCTCCACAATTAGGCTCACACACCTATACACACAACTGCAATCACATTTGCCAGTAGAGTGGAAGGAAGAATGAGAGAATGCATCTTCAAATATTAGGCAAAGAAACTTATTTTCCTAAAACAAACCTTATTCTTAGAATTTTAAGTATTTCTATACCATTGATAATACAAGCAGATAAATATATGCTTTATAATCTGAAAATTCTTTATTTTTGTCTTTTCAGCCTAATGGTGGCATTCCACATGATAATCTTGTTCTAATCAAGATGAAACCTGATGAAAATGGAAGGTTTGGGTTCAATGTAAAGGTAATCTGGAATGTGTCATATTTAGTTTTTAAATTAAGATGTTCTTAGTTTGGTAGTATTTGACTTTTTTTGTGTTTTCCAGGGAGGATATGATCAGAAGATGCCAGTAATTGTGTCCCGAGTAGCACCAGGAACACCTGTAAGTTATCCAAAATTTTATGTAAATGCTGTTTTTAAGAATATATACTTTGGGGCCAGATAGTGGTGGCACATATTTTTAATCCTAGCACTTGGGAGGCAGAGGCAGATGGATCTCTGTAAATTTAAAGCCACAAGGCCAGCCTGATCTAAAGAGCAAGTTCCAGCACAGCCAGGGCAATGGAGATAGAAACCTTGTCTCGAATAACCAAAAAAATAAAAAGGTAATATATTTTGTAGCCAGGTTTGATGATTGCCTGTCTTTAATCCCAGCATTCAAGAGGCAGAAGCAGGCAGATCTCCACTGAGTTCAAGGCTAGCTTGGTCTACTCAGAGAGTTCCACACCAACCAAAGCTAAAAACAAACAAACAAACAAAATACAGATGTACTTTCTAAAATGTTTTATGTATATGAGTGATTTGTTTGCATGTGTGTCTGTCTGTGCACTTTCTGTGTGTGCTGCTCTCATGGGTCAGAATGCAGTGTAGATCACACTTGTCAAAGCATATCCATTAGTTAGTTTGTGACCAAGAAGCAAAGCACACAGCTGTGCTTCTTGGTTTTCTTGGTCTTTTAAGATATTCTTTGAAGGCAATTAAGGTAGTCATCAATCTCATTATAGAGGAAGGGCAGTTAAGGTACTCAGATTGCTTAGATTCTTAGTTGGGATCAATATTGTGGATTCCTCCCTAGTGCCAGGTTTCTTGTTAACCCCATAATGGCTCCCTCTATCAAGCTGTCTCTTTCCTTGCTCTCCCTCTCTGTTGTTCTCACAACTCAACCTTCCTGATCCTTTGTTTTCTCCCCCCTCCTCTCCTTCTCCCTCCTATCTCCCTCCCCATCCCCTTCTCCCCATGCTCCCAGTTTACTCAGGAGATCTTGTCTATTTCCTCCTCTTGGTGTTGGTGGGGGGAATCGATGTATGTCTCTCTTAGGGTCCTCCTTGTTTCCTAGCTTCTCTGGAGTTATGGATTATAGGTTGACTATCCTTTGCTTTATGTCTGATATCCACTTATGAGTGAGTATATACATTATTTGTCTTTTTGTATCTGGGTTACCTCACTTAAGATGTTTTCTTCTAGTTCCATCCGTTTGCCTTCGAATTTCAAGATGTCATTTTTTTTTTACTGCTGAGTAGTACTCCATTGTATAATTAAGTAGTACTTAATTGCCATCATAGAGCCTTCATCCTGTAGCTGATGTAAGCAGAAGCAGAGATCCATAGCTAAGCCCTGGGCCAAACTCCCAGAGTCCAGTTGTAGAGGGAGGAGTGATAATATGGACACAGGGGTCAAGGCCATGCTGGGGAAACCCACAGAAACAGCTGACCTGAACAAGTGGGAGCTCACTAACTCCAAACTGACAGCTGGGGAACCCCCATAAGACCAAACTAGGCCACTTGAATGTGGGTGTCAGTTTGGGGGGCTTGGGAAGTCTGGAGCTGCTAGAAGTGGAAGCAGTGTTTATCCCTAGTGAATGAACTAGCTTTTTGGAGCCCATTCCCTATGGAGGGATACCTTGCTCAGCCTAGATACAGAGGGGAGGGCCTCAGTCCTGCCCCAAATGATGTGACACACCTTGTTGATTCCCTATGAGAGACCTCATCCTCTCTGAGGAGTAGATGCAGAGTGGGATGGGGAGATGATGGGAGATGTGGGAGGATGGGAGGGAAAGGAAACTGGAATTGGTATGTAAAATAAGATTGTTTTAGAGTTAAAAAAAAGAAAAAAGATATTCTTTGAAATTCATTTTTATTTTATGTGTATGGATATTTTGCCTTCATGTATGTCTGTGCACTGTATGCCTACCATACCTGTGGAGGCCAGAAGAAGGCATCTGATTCCCTCTTAGAACTGGAGGTACAGAGGGCTTCAGCCCCTCTGTAACTAACCAGTTTTTAACTCCTCTGTAACCACACTTAGTATGTGTGCTGGAAATTGAACCTGGGACCTCTGGAAGAGCAGCCAATGTTCTTAACCACAAAGCCATCTCTCCAGCCCCATTGCTTGGTTTTAAGATAATGGTTTTTAGATTGTAACACTAGCAGCAAATGTATACTTTATGCAGTAATTCGCAGTGTGTCCTGAAAACTAAAATTTGGAGGATGTCATTCAGAAACTACTGTTATTTAAGCTATGGGGACTAAAATTGTATATATTTAAACAGTACAAAATTAAGACTGCTTATATATAATATTTTGGCATCTTTTCTGAATCTCCATGAACATGTCCTGCCATAAGAAAGGAATTTGTTCAGTGAAGCTGTAAGACAACATAGGATGTTTCTGCTTTTCAAATAGATGAAAGTGTCTGTGTCTGTGCATGTGCAAACCAGAGGCTGACATCTTCCTCAATCACTTTCCACCTTGTCACCTTAGGGTTTTGTTTTTTTATTCAAGTTAGGGAACAAGCTTGTTTCACATGTGTCACCTTAGTTTTTAAGATGGTGTCTTTTAGTAAACCTGGAACTCCCTAATTGTCTATATTGGCTAGCCAGCAAGCTCCAGGGATTCTGTTCTACCTTCCCAGCACTGGGATTACAGGTTCATACTGCAGCACTTGATGTTCATGTGCTTTCTGGGGCTTGGAATTCCGGCCCTTATGCTTGTTTAGCAACCACTTTACTGACTGAGCCATCTTCGTAGTTTTGCATGGATGCTTTGTTCTATGTAGTTTTAGTTCTGCTATAGTGTATAAAAAGTAAATTTCTATATTTTCAGGATACCATGTGCATATTTGAATACTTACCTACATTATATTATAGGCTGACCTATGTGTCCCTCGATTGAATGAAGGGGACCAAGTGGTACTGATTAATGGCCGGGACATTGCAGAACATACCCATGATCAAGTAGTCTTGCTTATTAAAGCTAGCTGTGAGAGACATTCTGGGGAACTCGTGCTTCTAGTCCGTCCTAATGGTAAGTACTCTATTTAGCACTATTTGTCATAATTTGTTAGTTTATTACTGGACCTGTTAGCCAGAGTAGGCTTCTTTAAGCATGTCATGCTGGTTCTTATTCAAATGACAGTGACAGCTATCATTTTTAGAGAAAAAAAAATCCAAAATCTTGGTTCCTTTATCTCCCATTCATACTATATTCGATTCTGTTGGTACAGTGGCGTTCTTACTGTTTCCCAAAAGCTCCAGCCTGATATGCTTTAGGGCCCATGTACATGCTATTTCCTCTGCTCAGCAAACAGTTCTTGGTTTTGATGTAACACATGTTCTTGTGTCATTCAGGAAGGCTTCCTCTGCTTATTCTACCATACCCAAAGTGGCTTTTCTCTTCAGCCATTCTAATAGTAGTGTTATGTAATCAGTGAGTTTTTGTTTAATGAACAAGTAAATCTCACCAGGTGGTGTGCGCACCTTTAATCCTAGCACTCAGGAGGCAGAGGCAGGCAGATCTCTCTGTGTTCAAGGCAAATTCCAAGATAGCCCGGGCTACACATAGAAAGAGAAACCCACTGAGCCACCCACCTCTGTAGATGTGCCTCATTTTCTTAAAGTCTCTTCAAATTTTAAGCATGTGGCTAAAGAACTCTTTGTTTCTCCAAAGGAATAGGGAAAGCCTTTCAATCCTACAGCCATTCTTGATTCATACACAATGGCATCAATCAGATCTAGAGTAATTATTGATAACTGAATCTATAGAAAATATCTAGTAATTGCTTACTGAATTCTATTAAGATTCTCTTGTATGTGTTTTGTTTTATTTTAGCTGTATATGATGTAGTGGAAGAAAAATTAGAAAGTGAGCCAGACTTCCAGTATATTCCTGAGAAAGCCCCACTAGATAGTATCCATCAAGATGACCATTCTCTTCAGGAGTCAATGATCCAGCTAGCTGAGGGGCTTATCACTGGAACAGTACTGGCACAGTTTGATGTAAGTGATATCATTGTATTAAAACAGTATTTGCTAATTAGTTTGAGTGTGGTAAGAGCCTAACCTACTATGTATTCTCATTTATAAGGTAAAATGACAGCCTTTGAACTGGTTGACATCAAATGGTCTAAAATGTAGTTTTTAAGTTTATTCTCATAATACTAGTTATGACTATATAAATAAGTATCTTTTTGAAAGAATTGTAAAAGCCAGGCATAGTGGCTTATACCTGTAATCTCAATAAAGGTGATGCAGGAAGAAGTTCATGAGTTCAAGGTCAGTCTAGAATAGTGAGTGAGACCCCTCTCAAAATTTAAGAGTAGAAAAGACATTATAAATGGTTTTCCCTATAATTTACTAGCTCTTTTTATGAAAGGTAGAAAATAAGGATAATGTGGTGTATGCTTAAAGCTTGAGCAAAGCCAAATGTGACGGCACATATCATTTGTTGTTCTCACATCTGCAGCAATGCAGTTTTCTCTGAGCTTGAGGCCATCCTGGGCTACATGTAGCAAAGGCCTCATCTCAAAAAAATAAAATAAAAATAAACAAAACTGCCAAGTTAAAGAAAATAACTGGTATTTCAAGTTAATATTATGTCATATTTAGCCTTTCTTTAGTTTTGTCTGTAAGTCTTAAAACCCCTCAGATCATTATCTCAGAAGTACAAGAATGTTTCTTCACTCCTAATCTTTATTTTGATTAGTGAGTATATAGTGAATTTTGAAAGTCTGTATTTAAAACAGACATGTCCAGCCTGTGGCCCACTGGTTGTGTCCATTCACGATAGTTATTTAATAAATCCACTCCAACACATTTGTAGATGGCAATATCCTATCATAGTGTACTTAATTTATCTTTACTAAAACTAGGAATTTTCCCATGTGTGTAAAAAAAATAGCCATCAATATTTGCTGTTCTCGAGTATATGTTGTATATAAATGTGTATAATAAAACATACAAGACATATATCTTTTTTTAAAAAAATAATCTCAGTTTGTATATTGCGAGTACTTCTAAAATAAAGCCAAAATGTTCTCTGCAGATTTGCTATTCAAATATCAGTTAATTTGATGACAATGGTTTTCAGATTTTTCAGAGTGTGTATCAAAAGTTACAGAACTGATACAGTTCTGGCTCAGCACTCTACTTTTTTGAAGAGTATCATAGTGTGTGTGCAGTATGGGGGTGGGGTTTCCTGTTAGAGTATAAGCTAATCTGCTAAATGAAAGCAGAGTTATTCATGAGTTATTGGACTGTTTCTGTTTGTTTGTTTGTTTGTTTTTTAAGCAACTGTATCGGAAAAAACCTGGAATGACAATGTCTTGTGCCAGATTACCTCAGAACATTTCCAAAAATAGATACAGAGATATTTCGCCTTGTAAGTATCTATTAACTCTTACCATCATAAACTTAATTAAAGATTTTTATGGTCAGAGTATAAATTATTGTTAGAGCATTGCTCTTAGCATGTGCCAATCCTTTGTTTCTTTTAAAATTTTTTAGATGATGCTACACGGGTCCTTTTAAAAGGTAATGAAGACTACATCAATGCAAACTATATAAATGTAAGTTTTTTGTTTTGCTTTTGTTATTTGAGATAAATGAAACCATTGTAAATTTTAAGGTTAATTCCTTTTTATTGAAGGCCTAACTTTAATAGAATATTAAAACTTGAAGATAGTAATCTTTATCAAATTAATGTTTTAAAAAGTAAGGCAGGACAGGTTGGTGGTGGTGCACGCTTTTAATCCCAGCACTGGGGGGGCAAAGGTAGGCGGATCTCTGTGAGTTGAAGGCCAGCCTCGGTCTATAAGAGAGAGTTCCCATACAGCCAGTGCTACACAGAGAGACCCTGTCTTGAAAAACAAAACAAACAAATGAAAAAAAACTAAACCAGGTGTGGCGGCACATACTTTTAATCCCAACATTCAGGAGGCAGGACTGCAGTATCTGTGAGTTCAGGGCCTGCCTGATATGCATAGAAAACTCCAGGTCAGGTCAGCCAGAGTTTCACAGTGGGTCCTTATCCACCCCCACTCTCCCCAAGAAAGCTAAAGTAATTTGGTACTGCTATATTAATATTTAGTTAGAACAGTACAGTAGAATAATCAACTCCAGAAATAGAATAATCTATTATTACTATAATACTGTTGTAGGCTTGGGTTATAGTAGTGGCAGCCTTTTAAATCAATAGAGATAAAAACAACCTATTTGGTGAGTTATTTGGGCCATCTTCTCAAAATGTATCAGTGTAAGGAGGATTATTTCCCCCAAATAACAAAGGAAAAAAATGCCTTTTTCCTTAATTTCATAATATAGAAATTGTCAAATGTATACATGTGGAGCAGTGAGGGGACTGGAGAAATGGCTGAGCAGTTAAGAGTATTGGCTGCTTCTGCAGAGGACTAGAGTGCAGTTCCTAGCACCCACATTGGGCTTCTCACAACCACCTGTAACTTAAGCTCCAAGGGATCTGGAGCCCTCTTCTAACCTTTACATGCTCCTACATATGCACCCCACTGTGTGTGTGTGTGTGTGTGTATGTGTGTGTGTGTGTGTGTGTATGAGAGAGAGAGAGAGAGAGAGAGAGAGAGAGAGAGAGAGAGAGAGAGAGAGAAATGGGTTTCTTTTTTTGTTTTGTTTTGTTTTTTTTTACTGTAAAATCAACCTTCACATACACATCACTTAACTTCGACCATTGAACTCATGGACAGTGTTATTTCCCTATGTTTCTACACCTATATTGTTACATAGCATAATTGTACAACACTTTATCATCTATAAGTACTTTACCTATTCAACTTTGATGGTGACATCTGTTGAAAATACATCAGTATTTAAATTTGAAATATGGAATCATGAAGAAAATATGTGACAATTATTAAATATTTTAGATGGGGAAGAATTTTGTTAAGCTGAATGGATATATGCCTAAGGTATAAACAGCTAGGCCACTGGTGAATGTAGTCTCTGTGTTTGAGAGACTGAGGATCCCTCAAGTTCAAGATTTCAAAACTAGCCAGGGCAGCACAGCAAGACCTCTTTTCAAAAGGTCACAATCAAAGAGTCACATTTCGTCACATTCTATTAGCTAATCAATGTGTAACTTCACTCAAAAACTTTAAATAATGATGATAATGAAAAAATCTGTATATTTGGTACACTTAAGGGTACTAAGATCAAATGACAGCATTTTTTAAATGCTGTCCAGTTAAAATTCTACACATAGGCTGGGACTATAAGCACACATGTAAAACTTGAGAGGCTGCAATAGAAGACTCCCAAATTCATAACTAATGGACCTACAAAGCAAGACACTGTGTCTCAATTAAAGCAAAATGGATGTAAGGCAGGAGAGGAAATGTAAACAACATTGAACATTGTAAACCACATGGCTATTTTCAAATGTCTATAAAAGAAGAGAAAAATATATGAAGAATCTCTAGTGTATCTGTTACCTAGCTTTAAAGTTTGTCAAGAAGGGACCAATGTTGTTTAAGTGATTCCCTATAGATTATTTTTAAGCCAAAATATATGAATTTATATATACAATTAATTATAACTATTAGAAATAGTTGTAGATTCTTTCTACAAAGTTTATATAAATGATGAAATAGGGAAAATGAATCATCATTTCTAGAGTATATAGCTTTTAAAAGTGTATAGTCACATTTTCATCAGCTAGTCTATACATAACTACATTTAAAGACTTATTTAATATTAACACTGCTGATTTGTTAACTCTGAATGCATAGCCAATGGCATTGAAGTGTAACTCATGTTTGAAGAATTCCGTACTTTCTCCATGAGGAATAATATCACAGCCTTCTTGCCCCTCAGAACACTAGACAGCATTTCATCATTGTGATTGTAAATGGTGTAATTACCTACAATAAACAGAAAAATGTGAAGTATATGGTACTAAACAGTACTGGTGCTGCTTGTGGGCAGTATAGGAAGGTCACAGAGTTGCCTTATTTGGTGTCAGCTGGAAACATGCTTATCCAGTGACTCAAATTATTTGTTGCCTCCTGTATGCCTACAAATGGCAAATAAAGCTCTCCTCCTGTTCTGAAGTTACATAGGAACTTTAGCAGATATGAGGTCAGAGAGATGTCAAAGCAGTTAAGATTGCTGTACAATCATGAAGACCAGAGTTAAGATTCTAACACCCACCCACATAACAAGATTGGCATCCTTTAACTCTGTTTCTGTGGTGTCAGAATTAGGAGGATTGTTGGGGCTCACTCGTGTCCACCAGAATACTAGACTCAAGCACCAGGTGCAAGGAGAGAGCCTTCTAGAATCAAAATTGCAGGAAGAGAGTGATACAAGATGGCACATAACTCCTTCTCTGGCCTTAGATAATGACTGGTGAGAATTTTTTTTTCTTATTTTTTAAAAGCAAACCCAGAGCTAGAGAGATATCTCAGTGGAAGAGCACTGACTGCTCTTTTGGAGGATCTAGGCTCAATTCCCAGCACCTACATGGTGGCTCACAACTATCTCTAACTCCAGTTCCAGGGGATCTGACACCCTCACACAAACAGACAGACATGCATGCAAGCAAAATACCAATCTCATTTAAAACAAAACAAAACCACAATACTATTATAAAACTTAAAAAAATATCACAATTAAATGACAGTGTACTCAATTTTCAAAACCAAGTACAAATTTAAACTACATAGAAGTACTATTATTTACCAAATATTTGATGATAACATATACAAGTCCAGTTCTTTATCTGAAACCTTAGGTTCAAGTATGCTTTGGGGTTCTAAATTTTTAGAATTTATTTTTTTTTTTTTAAAGAATTTTCAGTCCTGCCCAGTGGTAGTGCACACCTTTAATTCCAGCACTCAGGAGGCAGAGGCAGGTAGATCTCTTCAGAGCCTGATCTACAGAGCAAGTTCCAGGACAGCCTCCAAAGCTACAGAGAAACTCTGTCAATCAAAGTCAGATTTTGCTGTGAAATGCTTTCAAGTGAGGTCAAATTTAAAATGCCTTCAAGTCAGGACAAGTTTTAAAACACCAAAAGCAGTTTTGTATTTCAGACTATTGGTATTTTCACAACTATAGATAAGGGATTATAGATATATTAGCAAGTACCAATGGAAATACATTGCTGTGTGTTGTTGGTTGAAGTGTAAGTAGGTAAACCTCTGGAGAAAGGTATGATATTGTCAAAATTTGAAGTATGCATCCATTTTGATGCAGCACTTTCATTTCTCCCTGTTGCCCTTACAGATAGGTACATTTTTACATTTGCCAAAAAATATCAAGTTTAGAGATGTATTCAGTTTAACCTTCTTACTTCTAACAAACATATTACCAGTGCCTTAAATCTCTTTTAAATAAATTACAGGTTTTTTAAGAAGGGCCATTAATAAGAGAAATTTATGTACTAATTTTGGCATTATCTTTCAAACAATAGGACTGTATATACTGTGTTTTCATTTTAAAGATAGTTATAAAAAATAGTTGTTGTGTACAGACTGTCTGTGTGAAAGAGGTTCTAGAAACTAGAAAAACAAACTACCTTCTGGTGATAACTTGTAAGCTGGTTTAATGGGGAGACTTCAGGTATACACTATTTGGTATTCTCTGAATTACTATGTGTAGATATCACCTTGGTAAAATAAACCACAGATGTAGCTCAATTGTGATTCCCCAGTATTTTTTGTCTTATTTTTTCCATAAACAATTTTAAACATTATCCTATTAGCTCTCCACACTGTTTTATGAGCATAATACTAAAATGAAAATTTTTCTCTTAGGAAATTTACCAATAAACTATTTTATAGATACTTTATAAAAATTTCCTTGCAAACTCTCTGCCTCTAAAACAAATTTCTCTGTAAAGCCGTCCTATACGCCATAGTAGTGCCAGATATTGTCATACTTTCCTATAATGTATGGGAGGCTGGGATATATCATGAGACCTCGTCTCAAAAAAAAAAAAAAAAAAAAAAGAGAAAGAAAGAAAGTATTTGGTAAATATTTGTTTTCAAATTCCTCTTTCTACCAATTGAATGATAAATATGTATAACTTTGGACATTGCCAGGAAATTTTTTTATGAATCAAATTATTAACAAAGATTATTGTACTAATCAGTTTATTGAGATATTGTGTTCAGTTTAACATTAATGGATGCTTTTAATCTTCCCAATCATAGTAAAATGTCAAAATGCAAAAATTTTCATGTCTTTTTCTTTTTAGATGGAAATTCCTTCTTCAAGTATTATAAATCAGTACATTGCTTGTCAAGGGCCATTACCACACACTTGTAAAGATTTTTGGCAAATGACTTGGGAACAAGGTTCCTCCATGGTTGTGATGTTGACCACACAAGTTGAACGTGGCAGAGTAAGCTGTAGTTGAATCTTATCCATTACTTGTGCTCTTTTCAAATTACATTGTGTTTATGTAATCAGAATATTCTTTTGTAGCCTTTAATTTCTTCTTGTGATTCCATGCTTTGAATTATTACAGCTAAATACTTCAGAGTGTACCTAAAACAATACTTGTGATAGAAATGTTACCATTCTTATATCTAAGAGGCTTGTCTGTGGAATATGTAAGGATTTCTTACAAGTTAATAGTTAAATGATCATTTAAAATTTTGGCAAAGGATCTAAGTAGACAATTCCTAAGATGATACACCAATGTCCTGTTGGTAATCAGGTTAAATGTCACCAGTATTGGCCAGAACCCACAGGAAGCTCATGCTATGGATGCTATCAAGTCACCTGTCACTCTGAAGAAGGAAACCCTGCCTATATCTTCAGGAAGATGACACTGTTTAACCAAGAGGTAAGAAGTCAAGAGTGTTTGTTGAGAAGAACTATTATAAAGATTTTGAAAGCTGAAAATGTCTTGAGTAGTTACTAGGAAACAACAATTACTCAACTATTGGCTAGAAAGATGGTTCTGCAGTTAAGAACACTTGCTGCACCGTCTTCAGGACCAGAGTTCAGATTCCAGCACTGATATAATAAGCTGAGCAGAATTGCAAGTGCCTGTAACCCCAGCTCTGAGAAATCAGAGACAGAAAGCTCCCTGTGGCTTTTTGAGTTCCACCATAGTTATGAGCAAGGACTAACTTATTCATAGCATTTGCTTATAAAAAATTTAGTGCGAGCTGAGCAGTGGTGGTGCACGACTTTAATCCCAGAACTTGCGGGGTAGAGGCAGATGGATCTCTGTGAGTTTGAGACCAGCCTGGTCTACAAGGGCTGGTTCCAGGCCAGCCTCCAAAGCATAGAGAAACCCTGTCTAGAAAAACAAAAAACAAACAAAAAAAATTAGTGCAATCAGTATTAGTAAAATATTTGGATATGTCTTGGGCAATAGAGGAAGCTGTCAACTTGTTTCACTTTTTTCAAATAATGGAGAAGAGCAACATCACAATCTTGGTGATATGAGGAAGAAAAGTTACACTCAAGGCCTTTTGACAGCAAACAGATAGCAACTTTCTGACTGCCAGCTCTTCTTAGTTCTACCAGTCATTGTTTTTGGCTTCCAAAGCCAAAAGTAGACACTGATTAATGAGTGATGGTTTGGTCCCCTAGTTGGAATATACACATAAAGGACATCATGCTGCTAGTCCTGGAAGGATCTAGAGACTGTGTATCGTGTATTCACTCCTGAAATTCATTCTTTCCCTGATAGCAGCCCATCATTTTGTTGTTGTCACTTTTGTTTTTGAAACAGGGTATTACTACATAGACCTGGCCCAGACCTTGTTATAGACTGGGCTAGCCAGAAACTCATGCTGCCTCTCCCTCCAAGTGCTGGGATTAAATGCTTGCACCACTACACCCAGTGACCCTCCTTGTTGTTTTAAAGGTGGCTAAAAGAAGGAAGTAACTGCAGCACAAGCGTTGAAGGCTCAGGCCTTTCCCATCAACAGTTAAACCTTGAAAAGTGATAAGTGGGGTAGAGTCTCTCTTACAATAAAAGGAAGGAAGCAGGAATCTTGAATGAAGCAAATGTTATCGGGGGAAAAAGTTAAAAATTTATTTAAATAAAAATCAGTTAAGGTCTATCTTCAGTGTTGTCTATCTATAATTAGCCATGGCATTTTTATTTGTAAATGCTAAGTACCTCAGAACTATGAAAAGATAAATTAATTTAAAAATTTGAGGCAAATATAATTGACAAAACAAATTTTCAACAAATACAAATACACATACACTAACAGACAATGGATAGGTAGGTACTACTCCCATGTCTTGATTAACTTTTACTTCTGTGATCTCCCTTGGCATCTCCAGATTGAATGATGTTGAATGATAGTTACCTGTTTTAAAGTGTATGAATAAATAGTTTGATTTTATTTAGTCTTCTCATAAAGCCTTTTCAACCTAAAGATGGCCCAGTGGAGCAGTAAGTGTCATTTCATTTTTCACATGAAGGAGGGTAGCTCTGAAATATTAAATGCCATAACTTGCAATTATATCCACCATTACTCCCTCCCTCACCAAGTAGAATTAATCCTTATTCAACTTTGTGTTTTTATTCTAATTTTAATCTATATATATTTGGGAGTTTTTTATCTAAGAATTTTATTATACTTATGTATGTGTGAGTGCTTGGGGTTTTATCATGGTGCACCTGTGGAGGTCAGATGACAACTAGTAGGAATCTGGTCTCTTTTCTACCATGTGGGTTCCAGAGTTTGAGCTTAGATTGTCATTCTTGGTCACAAGCCGTCTTAGCTGCTGAACCATTTCATTCTCCTGGGGCTTTTCCTGTCTAATCTCCACAATTTCATTTGTGTCGACATGTAAAGATTATCTCATTTTTTGTTCATATACAAAAGTTGTTACTTTACCATCTTTGTTCACCTGGAATCTCTTTTAGGTAATCCTTTAAGTAGTTCTCTGACCTTAATTTATTTCTGCCTGTTGATTTGGTTACTATGCTCAAAATACTTGATAAATATAGAAATTGAGTTGTAAAAGTATAGTAATATGCTGGGTGGTGGCGGCGCACACACCAGCACTCAGGAGGCAGAGGCAGGTGGATCTCTGTGAGTTCCAGGCCAGTCTGGTCTACAAAGCAAGTTCCAGGACAGCCAGATAGCCAGCACTATTACACAGAGAAACCCCATCTCAAAGAACAAAACCAAACAAACAAAAAAGTATATTAATATAAATAACTAGTCCTTAAAAGGATACAACTATTTCTGTGAAATATTTTCCTTGTGTCGAAATACTAGATTTTAGTGAATTTATACACTATGGCAAGAAGAAAAGGGAAGGTACTTTTACTTTCCTTCTAAAATTAAAACAAGCATTTAGACTTTAAAGGTAATTCCTATGTCAAAATGTGTAACTTTTCATTTTCATTTAGAAAAATGAAAGTCGTCAACTCACTCAGATTCAGTACACAGCGTGGCCTGACCATGGAGTACCTGATGATTCAAGTGACTTTTTGGATTTTGTTTGTCATGTCCGAAACAAGAGGGCTGGAAAGGAAGAACCGATTGTTGTTCATTGCAGGTATTTATATCCTGCCCTTAATGAATGAATAATTGGGTGCTTGGGGGAATACATAGTGTATTTTGACCTTTTATTATGATTAATACTGTGATATTTAGATCGAAAGTTGTGTTCCGAGGTTGAAGGCAAAGGGGATATTATAATAGTACTGTGTCAGAAACTATGGAAAGGAAAAAAAATAGCCACTTTCTTAGCTCTTTTCCTATTTTAATATCCTGAAATTGGAATGTGTCTTATAATTGATTGTAAGTTAGATTTGATGAAATACTGCCTTTATCTTCATGTGTTTGTGTTGGTATAACAAGATACTCAAAACTATGTAGTTAATAAAAGCAGAAATAGAGTTTTCAGTTTTGGATTGCAAAACTAAGTGTGGCCAGCAGAGGTCCTTAGTACACAAGCAAGGGGAGCTAATAAAGTGAAGCTAGCCTTGTGGGCCTCTGAAGCTTAGACAGTATGGAAAGCATCAGATCCAAATTGTCATCCTTCTTTTATATTTTAAAATTTTTGAGATGAGGTCTCCTATAATATGTGCAGGTCTTGTACCTTTTTTTGTAACTGGATAACCCTGAAATCCTGATCCTCAGTCTTCCATTTCCCCAATTCTGGAGTTACACATGTGTACTGCCATTCTTGTCTTAAAAAATAAAACTTTCATGTTTTTTTTTTATTTTTGAATTCCCTTGCTTAAGTTTATCTGTTTGTGTTTTTCATTATTCAACACCTTTTTTTCTTTTCATTTTTAATCTCCTGGTTTTTTCCTCCCTTTTATAATTTGTCTGTATTCCTTTTCCTTTTATTTAACATTGCTTTTTATATCTGTTTTCTCTCCTTTCCTGGCTTCTTCCTTTATCTTATTCATTACAACTTCCAAATTTGTCTGAATGATTTTTAACTTCATAGTATACTTTCCATTAGTTTTGCCATTTTCTCCTCTTTGGTCATTGATGGTGTATTATGGGCTTTGATCAATTTTTTCTTTGTTTGGTTGGTTTTACTTTTGGTTTTTTGAGATAAGGTTTCTCTGTATAGCACTAGCTGTCCTGGAACTTGCTCTGTAGACCAGGCTGACCTTAAACTCAGATCTGCCTGCCTCTGCCTCCTTAGTGCTGGATTAAAGGCATGCAACACTAATTCCCAGCTGGGTTTTGGTCAATTTTAACTGCATATCACATTCAGTGTAGTGCTATTGTTGATAAACCAATTTGTTTTCATCTTCCTTAGTGTATTGGGGGTTTAGCCTGCAAGAGTAGGCTTCACACTGAGCAAATCTCCAAAGAAAACTAAAATGAAAATCCACACCAACAGAAGCACAAATTAGGACACAGAAATACTCCTTGATTACTGAACTCAAAGATACTAAAACAGATAAAATGTTGGGTGAATTCAAACATTTTCTTGTAAAAATAATCGATGACTTCAAAGAACATACAAAACAAACAGATTAATGAACTAAGGATTTCACATTGGGACTTGGGAAGAAAAGTAGCAGAAAGGGGGACAAAGTAAGAAAGTGGGTGGGAAAGTTAATTTGCACATGAATGAGGAAATAAAGAAATTGAGATTAATAAAACAGAAATGTTGGAAATGAAAAACTGAGTAGAGCAAAATTTAAATATGGAATGTAGAAATCACCAATAGGCTAGACCGTAGCACAGATTAAACAGAGACAGCTATTGGGATTAAAGTGGGAGATTAGAAAGCAAGAGCATCCAAGCCACTAGAGAGTTCTTAATTCTACCAAGGCTAGGGGAGATCCTGTCCTCAGTATGACTGCAGTCTGCAATGCTCTCCACCACTGCCTGGTCTCTATGACTAACTAATATGGCTGGCTAGCTTTGCACTCTGATCTTCATGCAAACTTTATTTTTGTTAGATCATCAACAAAATATCACCACACTAGACTAAGCAAAAACAATAAAAGAACATCAGGATATGGACAAAGTTTGAAGAATGCTATACAAACATGATGGTTTAACAGCAAGCAAACAAAAAGACACAAACATGACTTTCAAAAACTGTAGGATATGCTCAAGAGAAATAACCTAGAAGTCTGTGGGATGGAATGAGTCAATGTAAAAGCTAATGGTCTAGAAAATGTATTCAATAAAATCATAGCAGTTTCCAAGTCTAGGGAAGAAATAAACATCTAATCCCAAGTGGTATTTAGAGCCCTAAATTACACAACTAGAGAAGAACCTCTCCATGGTAGAATTCATTGAAAATGCCCAAAGTATAAAACAAACAACAATGTTAAAAACTTTAAGAGAGGGCTGGAGAGATGACTCAGTTGTAAAAGGCTAGGCTCACAACCAAAAAACTGTAAGACAGCCAGGCATAGTGGAACATATTTTGATACAGAAGAAGGGGGATCTTTGTGATTTTATGGCCAGCCAGGACTACATAGTGAGCCCCTTTCTCAAACAAAGCAAAACAAACTGTAAGAAAAAAATAGCAGCTCACTTATAAAGTCGAGCATAAGGACTGTAGAGATGACTCAGCAGTTAAGAACACTGACTGGGCTGGAGAGATGGCTCAGAGGTTAAGAGCACCGACTGCTCTTCCAGAGGTCCTGAGTTCAATTTCCAGCAATCACATGGTGGCTCACAACCATCCCTTATGAGATCTGGTGCCCTCTTCTGGTGTGCAGATATACATGGAAGCAGAATGTTGTATACAGAATAAAAAAAAAAAAAATCTTTAAAAAAAAAAAAAGAACATTAACTGCTCTTGCTGAAGGCCTGGGTTTGATTCCCAGCACCCACACAGTGGTTCATAACTTTCTATAAGCCTAGTTCCAGAGGATTTGATACCTTCTTCTGACTTCTTGGACCAGGGATACATGTGATGTACATACATAAGCGCAGACTTCAAAATATATAAATCTGAAAAACATTGTTGAGATAATAAATTGTTTTTTGAGAGGAGGGGAGGGAAGGAAAGCACAACAGACCTTGCAACAGAAATTTTTTAAGAGCCAGAAAAGCATAGAATGGTATGTTTCAAGCCCTGAAAGTGAATAACTAGTAAAACTGCTATATCCAACAAAGCTACCTTTTAATATGAAAAGACTAAAACAGTTCACAACCTCTAAGTCAGCATTGCAAAAGGTACTTAAAGGGTTCCTACAATGGCAGTAGGAAAGATAGAGTCAATAAAGCACAGGAAAGAGTAAATTTCATGAGTGGACTAAATGAGCAAAGAATACCTAAACCCGTCATACCAGTGAAATGCCTAATACAGATAGGGAAAGTGAAAAGATCAATTGTTAGTGTAACCAACCACAATAACAACCAACAAAATTATAGGAGGGAATGTGGGAGGGAAAGAAAAGCAAAGACAGAAGAACTGTGCCCCCAAAATAATAAAAACTAACTACAACAAACCTGTAGATAATATATACTAAATGCAGAAAAACAGAACACATTTCCTCTATAGGCAGGAACAAGACAATTCAGACATTGAACATAGCGTTCTATACTTGATTCAGTATAATCTCAAAATCTTTGTCAGAATAATAAGGAAAGAGAATGAAAAGATATAAATAATGACGGAAAAAGTTAAATTAGCCCTAGTTTCTGGTCACATGATTCCATTTTTGAAAGACCTTAAAGAATCCATGAGAAAACTTAGCTCTGAAGAACACTTTTAGCAAAGTAACAGGATTAAAACACATACACACAAAAATAGGTAGCTTTCATATGTATCAGTAACAAATTTGTCAACAAAAAAATCAGGGAAGTTCCACTCACAATAGCTTCAATAAATAAAATACCTAAAAATAAGCATAACTAAGGACATTAAAGAACTCTATAGTAAAAAATTTAAATACTGAAGAAAGTAATTGAAGACATTGAAAGCTGAACAAACCTCCCATGCTCATGGATTACCAGAATAGTTGTAAAAATGTCGGTGTTACTGAAAGTAATTTACAGACTGAACATAATTCTTATCAAAATTCTAGTAACATCCTCCACAAAACTGGGACATGAAAGCACAAAAGACCCCAAATAGCTCCCCAATCATAAGCAGAGAGTATCACAGTACCTGGCCTCAAATTACACTCTATAGCTATAGTGACAAAAACAGTGGGATACTGACATAAAACAGACATGGAGACTAACGAACTAGAAAATGGGCCCAGAAATAAATGTATGCAGTTACTTCTACCATTTTTCAACTCTTGAAAACATACTTTTTTCACCGGGCAGTGGTTGCGCATGCCTTTAATCCCGGCACTCGGGAGGCAGGAGCAGGCGGATCTCTGTGAGTTTGAGACCAGCCTGGTCAACAAGAGCTAGTTCCAGGACAGCCTCCAAAGCCACAGAGAAACCCTGTCTCGGAAAAAAAGAAAAGAAAGAAAGAAAACATACTTTTTCTTTGGTAGTATTGGTCTCTTGTTAATCACAAATTATTCTTCAGCCCCAGTTGACAAGAAGGAACAGATTCTTAATTCAAAATATCATATGAATAGCCCTGATAGACTGTTCTGGGAAACTCACAAGTCTGGTCTTATCATCTTCGTTGCTGTCAGCATTATTTTCCAACAACTCATTAAGCTCCAAATACTCAATGACTTTTCCAGGTCAAAGCTCCAAATTCTCCACCTTTCTCCCATAAAATATCCCAAGGCATAAAAGTTACATGGTCAGGTCCATCACAGCAAGGCCTCACTCTCAGTACCAGTTTCTGCTCTAGTCTGATTTTCTTTTGCTGTGGTAAAACACTGACCAAAAGCAACTTAGGAAGGAAAAGATTTACTTCATCTTAATAGCTTATTTTCCATCATGGAGGGAAGCCAGGCAGGGCTCACAGCAGGAACCTAGAGGTAGAAACTGAAGAACCCCACAATGATTACTCCTTTGCTTCTACTGACTTGCTCACATACATTTCTTACATAGCCTAGGTACCCTGCTAAGGGTACCGCCCACAGGAGTCTGGACCCTCCTTTATCAATCAGCAATTAAGAAAATGCACCCCCCCCCCAACACATGCCCACAGGCCAGTCTGATGGAGGCAGTTCCTCAATTAAAGCTTCTAGTTCATGTTGAGTTGATAAAAAGTAACCGGTCACACATACTGGTTAGAAAGAACAAAAACAAAATATCCACTCAATGAAGTAACAGTTCTCAAAAGAAGAAATACAAATAGGTAACAAATATATGAAAAAAATGTTCAACAGCCTTTAGTTAACAGGCAAATGAGAATTAAAACTAGTTTGACATTCCATCTCATTCCACTCAGAATGGCCATCATCAAGAAAATAAATGATGGTGAGGATGTGGAGAAAGATGAGCCCTTATTCACTGCTAATAAGAATATACTTGAAGCATTGATGCCAGGTCAACATATCACAGAGATGCTTTTGTGTCTGTATTTATTGCTACACTGTTTATAATAGCCCACATATGGAACCAGTCTATATGCCGAACAACAGATGAATGAATGCAGAAATGTGTTGATGTGTACAATGAATTCAGTGTCACGAAGAATGAAAATGTCATTTATAAGAAAGTTAATAGAATTGCATGCAAATCTTCATATTAGTTAAAGTAATCCCAGTTTCAGAAAGACAGATTTTTAATATTTTACTGTAAAGAAAAATACATGTGGTATATAAGAAGGGGACTAAAAAAAGTGAAGGAAAAGAATGGAAGGGAAGAGGGAGAGTTAATGGAAACAATAGAATGTTCTATGTTTTTATCATAGAAAATCTAGATTTAAGAATATACATACATATGAAAGCATAAAAGGAACTAATGGTGGAGGGAGGGAGACCCTCAAGGTGGGGGAGTGGGAGGAGGTTAAATATGAACAAAGTATCATGTTATGAGTGAAAAATGTCATGAAATCCATTATTTTGTATTCTACCTTAAAAAAAAAAAATTAGGGGGCTGGAGAGATGGCTCAGAGGTTAAGCACACTGACTGCTCTTCCAGAGGTCCTGAGTTCAATTCCCAGCAACCACATGGTGGCTCACAGCCATCCATTATGAGATCTGGTGCCCTCTTCTGGTGTGCAGATATACATGGAAGCAGAATATTGTATAAATAATAAATAAATAAAATCTTAAAAAAAAAATTAAGAGGCCAGTGTCAGGGCTGGAGAGTTGGTGGCTCGGTAGGTAAAAGTACTTGTTTGTACAGGGTTCAGTACTCAGCATTCACATGGTGACTAACAATTGTCTGTGTAACTGTTGTTGCTGGAGATGTCACCTTCTTCTGACAACCGCTAGCACCAGGCACATGCACATGGGGCGCTTGCATACATGCAGGCAAATACTCAATGTAGACAGAAATTTCTGTTCTGCCTGATCCTGAAGCCATTCAGTCCCAAATAAACACACAAAGGCTTATATTAATTATAAACTATTTTGACCAATGGCTCAACTTCTTATTGGCTAGCTCTCTCTTAAGTATAAACCTATTACTATTTACCTGTGTATCTCCATGTGGTCTTGGCTTACCAGTGATGCCCAGGTTTCTTGCTTCCTATGCAGCTACATGGTGGCATCTCTCTGACTCCACCTTTCTCTATCCCTGTTTGGATTTCCCATGTGGCTAAATCCTGCCTGTCCATTGGCCGAAACAGCTTTATTCATCAAACCAATAAGAGAAATGTATATTCACAGCATACAGAAGGACATTCCCCCACCATAGTCATACACATAAAAATAAAATATTTTTTTAAAAAACAAGACTCAATATTAAGAATGATGAGATAACTGTGGCTTCTTTATATTAGAGAAATCTTCAGTAGCTACTATAGTTATGCTCAGAGATTTTATCTCCAGGAGGTTATTTTTAAGTATCACAATGGTAAGTTTGACATAAATTAGCTTTGTTTAAAGCATTATTTATATAAGGTATAAAACATAATTGTTGTTTATGTATTTGCTAATGATGCATTATTTTAGATCTGATACTTTGCATTTTAAAATGGTTTTAAAATATTAAGCAGTTGACTTGCTCGTTCTATGAAATAAACCTTAAGATGAAATTGTTTTTCTTTGTTGTGATTTGATACTTTGATATTTCTGCAGAAAAGCCACAAGTATAGCAATTGTACCACTAAAAATTTGTCTCTCTCTCTCTCTCTCTCTCTCTCTCTCTCTCTCTCTCTCTCTTTAGTGCTGGAATTGGAAGGACTGGGGTTCTTATTACTATGGAAACTGCCATGTGTCTCATTGAATGCAATCAGCCAATTTATCCACTAGATATTGTAAGAACAATGAGAGATCAAAGAGCCATGATGATCCAAACACCCGTAAGCACTATATTTCATATGTGCATGTATCTCTTAAACATGGTGGATCTTGCTACTAATTTTCATTCTATATGTTTTTTTCTTACACACAGACAAACACACATTTTTATGACAGGGTCCTACTATGTAGCCCAGGCTGACCTAGAACTCACTATGTACCCCAGGCTGGGCTCCAACTCTTCAGCCTCCTGACAAGTATGTGTCATAAAGCCTACCTCTAAATTATACTTAAATCTTTTTCATTCTTCCTCAGAAGCTATTGTTCCATAATATAATAGTTACCACCACCTTGGTATTATAAATAAAAATACAGTGGAAAGCTTCCATGTTCACCTTTTTAGGTGTCATCTGTTGCTTTTATGCTGCAACAACACAATGAAGCAGCAGATACCTATGGCTAACAATGTCTGAAATACTTACATCTGGCCTTTTACAGAAACAGTTTTGCCAGCATGTAGATGGCTTAGCATGTTAACTCTCGAGGGCCTTCCTAGTGGAATACTATCCCTAAACTGGAGAGCCTTTGGTTTTCAAGACAGGTTTTCTGTGTTGTGTGTCTTAGAACTCACAGAGTAGACCAGGCTGGCCTTGAACTCAGAGAGATCTTCCTGCCTTTGCCTCCCAGATCCTGGGATTAAAGGCGTGTGCCACCACTGCCTGGCTAAACTGGAGAGACTTAGTAGGACTTTGTTGTGATGGAAAATCTTCCTGTTTCCTGAGAAATTAATTGTATAACAATCACAAAATTCCTAGAATTTAAGCTGCTTATTCATAATGTTCTCCACTAACTTTTCTTTATGTGTCAGGAATCAAAATAACCAAGAAACTTTAGAGTTAGTGTTAAGATTGGTTTTGTATTAATTAAACCAGAGTGAGATGTTGGCATTGTTAGTGGCAACAAAATTACTTGATGGTGTCTGGCCTAATTACTCTAAAAATGCCTGTCATTTTCAAAGCTTCTAAATACAGAAAATTTCAAACTTTCTCAAAAGTTGACATTATAATAAAAACATTATAAATCACCAACATTTTCTGTATTATACAATCACTTTCTCATTACTTAAATCTTGGTTGTCATAAATATTTTAGTATGTATCTAAAAGATGAATTATATTTTTCTTTAAAATATACCATTATCGCCTTAATATTATCAAATAATGTTCATATTTCCAGTTTCATAAAAACCTCACTTTTGAAGAACAACTGTATTGAAATACAATTTGCATACCATAAATTTACCCTTTCAAAGCATTACTTCAGTAATTTTTCAGTATGTAGCAGAAGTTTGCTATCTTTATTTTTAGAAATTTTCATCATTCCATAAAGAAACTCCTTACTCATTAAGCACTTATTCCAATTTTTTCTGATACCCTTAGCCCCAAGCAAATCGAAAATGAATCAGTTAATATATACTCCAGTGTGTATCAGCAATTCATTTTTTTTCTTGCTGAATAATTTTTCATTATAAAGGTCTAACACATTTTAGGTATTTCTCTATTAACTGAGGAATGTTTAGAGTGTCACTGTTCCATGAACACTTACGTGACATGTTTTTATTTTGTTGTGTATACTCATGAGTAGAACTGCAGCATCAGTGAGCTGGGACACATTCAACCACGGAGCTGCATCCTCTGTCAAGGACAAAATTTTATATCCAATAGTGGAAAATAAGGGTTCCATTATCTTAACATCATCAAAATTTACCTTGTTTTAGAGAGTTTGCTTTGTATATGGATATGAAGTGTTACTGTGACTTTGATTTCCATTTCCTTAATAATGATGTCAAGTGTCTTCTATAAAAATTGTTTTGCTCATTTTTATTTGTCATATTGTTGTTGTATTTATATTTTCCAGATAAAAATCTTATATGATATGTGTGTTTTCAAACACTTTCATTCTTTTTCCTTCATTTTCTGTTTATTTAAAAATGTTCCCATTTATTTCATGTGTGCTACTTGTGTAAATGGGTACATGCATGCAATGGCTCACCTGTGAAAGTGAAAGATCTAGTAGGTACTCTTTTCCTCCCAGGGACCAAACTTTAGGTTATCTAGCTTGCTGACCCTTGTGGGGGACTTTTGTTGTTTTTTACTTTGTTTTTTCTCAATGATCTAATTTAAGACCTAAATTTGGTTTAGGAATGTAAGACCCTGTATTTTATCCCCAGCACAACATAAATAAGTAACCCAATTGTTTTTAATTTCAATGAAGTCTATTGTATCTTTTTAGTTTTCGTTGTAGAGGTCCTAGTTTTATTTGGGTTTATTCCTAGATATTTTATGTTTTTTGAGGCGACTGTGAGTAGGGACATACCCATGATCTCTTTCGAATCTTGTTTGTTGGTGGTTTTAGAAGGCTGTTTTTTTCTTAATCAAAGTTGATTAAAGCTATATTGCCACTTTGTTGAAATAGTTGATTGTTTCCAGAAGTTTTGTGATGGAACTTTGGTATTTCTTAAACATATTAAATCATCTGCAAATAGAGGTAATTTGTTTTCTTCTTTTTCTATTTGTATCCTTTAAATTTCCTTCCCTTGCCTTACTGCTCCAGCAGATGCTTCTGGCACTAATTTGAAAAGAAGTGGGGATAATGGACAGCTCTGTCTCATTCTTGACTTCAATGGAATTGCTTCAGAGCTTTCTCTATTTAGGATAATGTTGACTGTAGGTTTTTTGTATATAGCACTTATTATGTTGATGTATGTTCTCTCCAGTCCTACTGTCTGTAGGAATTTTGTCATGAAAGTATGTTGGTTTTGTCAAAGGCTTTTCCCACATCTGTTGAGATGATCATATGATTTTTGTCTTTGAGTTAATTTATATGACTTATTTTATCTGTTGATGGTGAACCATCCCTGCATCTTCAGGGTAAAGCCAAGTTGGTCATAGTGGATAATATTTTTGATATGTCTGTATTTCATTAGTATATATTTTATTGAAGATTTATTTATGTTCATCAGGAATATTGGCCTGTAGTTTTCTTTTTGTGTGTGTCTGCCTTTTTTTTTTTTTGTATGAAAGTAATACTGGTTTTTAGAAGTGTTCCTTTTTTTCTGTTTTTATTTGTTTTTTGCTTTTTTAATTTTTAAAAATAATTTTTAGAAGTATTGGCTGCCCAGGTGGTGGAGGCACATGCCTTTAGTTCCAGTACTCAGGAGGCAGAGGCAGGCAGATCTCTATGAGTTTGAGGCCACAAGGCCAGTCTAATCCATAGATCGAGTTTCACGACAGACAGGGATATCACACAGAGAAATTTTAAAAATAATTTTAAAATTATTGGCTATAGATCATGTGCAAATATATGGTAGAATTCTGCTATCAATTCATCTGACCTGTGAATTTTTTCATTGGAAAACTTTATTATTGTTTTAATTTCTTTCTTTCTTTCTTTCTTTCTTTTTTTTTTTTTTTTTGTTGTTGTTGAGACAGGGTTTCTTTGTGTAGCTTTGGAGCCTATCCTTATTTTAATGCCTTTATTTATTTTAGGCATTCTGTTTAGGTTGTTATATCTTTTCTTAGCTTAACTTCACTGGCTTCTATAAATTTAGAAATTTATTCATTTATATATATGTCCATTATACATAATGGATATAAAGAATGCCATTATTTCCAACTTAATGAGTATAGGTTTTTAAACTATACTAATTATAAAGTTCTATACTTTATAAGATTCTGAATTTCTTTCATTTCTATTGTAATGTTTTCTTCTCCATTTCTGATTCTGTTAATTTGGGGTCCTTTCCCTTTCTTTTGTTGCTTGGTTATTCAGAGAACCAGCTCTTGGATTCATTGATTCTTCTTAATATTTTGTTTCTAGTTCATGAATTTCTGCTGATTTTTATTATTTCTTGCCATATACTGGATTTGAATTTGTTTTTTCTCGTTTATACAAATTCTTGATCTGCTCATCATTAGTTATTAATTTGTGTTTTCCGACATTTTTGATGTAGATGCCTGTAGCCATAAATTTTCTTTATAGGACTGCTTTTAATGAGACCCAGAGGTTTTGTTAGTTTGTATTTTCATTTAGTTCCAGGAAGTTTTAAAATTTTCTGACTTCTTCTTTGCTGATTTGTCATTTAGTTGTTTGTTTGATCTCTATGAGTTAGTGTGCTCAGGAGAGATTTGTTACTGTCAATAAGTTTCATAGTATTAAAGTCAGATAGGCTACATGGAATTATTTTAGGTTTTGGAATTTGTTATTGTTTTTTGTGTTTTCGTGTGTTCCAGGATGTCTATTTTAGAGAAGCTTCTGTGGGCTGCTGAATAAAATATATATTCTTTTTTGGGTTTTCAAGACAGAGTTTCTCTGTATTGTTTTGGAGGCTGTCCTGGAACTCGCTATGTAGCACAGGCTGGCCTCAAACTCACATAGATCCGCCTGCCTCTGCCTCCCAAGTGCTGGGATTAAAGGCGTATGCCACCAATGCCCGGCTAAAATATATATTCTTTAGTATTCTGTAGTTATCTGTTAAGTCCATTTGATGTATGATGTTTAATTCTGGTGTTGATTTTCACCAAATGACCTTTCCATTGGAGAGTGTAGCATTAAACTCACCTAGTACTAATGGTTTGATGTTAATATGTGTCTTTAATTTTAGTAGTACATTTTTTTATAAAATTGGGTGCACCAAAGTTCGGTGCAATTATGTTTAGGATTGTAATTTCTCCTTAATTAATTGTTCCCTTTAGAATGAAGTATTCTTCATCTCTTCTGATTAGTTTTACTTTAAAGTTTATCTTGTCATATATTAGGATAGCAATGCCTGCTTGCTTCCTGTTCCCATTTGTGTAGTATACTTTTTTTCTATCCTTTTACTTTAAGGTGGTACTTATCTTTAAAGCTAAGGTGATTTTTCTTGTAGACAGCAAAGGATACAATTGGAGAGTTGAGGCCATTAATATTTAAAGTTGTTATTGAAATGTGTGTACTGATTACAGTCATTTTATTTGTTTATTTTGCTGCTTGTATTGTCAGTTGCACCTTGTGTTTTGGTAATT